AGCACCAACTTTTTTATGGACTTGTATATTTATCTCCATCCATAAAATCTGAACAATATCTCATAACATCTACATCGAATCAGCATCTTAGTTCCTTTTTCCAAAAGAAAGAAGCAAATCCTAGCCATGTTTTTTTAAAACGAATCAGTGATCAAATCGGTCAGGGGTTCGGTTATCGGTTCAAACGGTTTGACCGTTTGGCCTGAATGACTGGCCCATTCTGATAAAAAAATAAAAAATTGGAAAACAATCAAAACCGTTCGAATGGTTAACCAGCTGGTTCTATGGTTTGTTGACCAAAATCAATGGTTTTGGGGAAAAAAACGGTTTTGGAGGAAACGGAACTCTCAGTTTTCCCGGTCTGACCATCCGGTTCGTTCCAGTTTTGAAAACCATCACCCTAGCTCCTTTGTTACACCCTCTCACCTATTATTTTGTCACACATTTGGTGCTCCATATATGGGACTACACAACGGGAGTAGCTCATCCTCCATCCCCTTTAACCCCCCAATCCAGGTGGCAGTGGGATTTGATCCTAGGTATATCTGGTACCACGAGTCAATGATCCTTTCAATTGAGACACCATCAGCTGATTTATCATACAGTTATTCCCAATCCGTTGTGTTTAGTTGCAGTGCATTCTTATTTGCACGAATGCAAATTTTGGTTTAATTTTGTTTTGAGTTTTATTTTATTCTGATTCAAGTTTTACTTTATTTCATTTATAATGCAATTAATCAAAACAAGGTAAATTTTGAAACAAAAATAAATCAAAATTTGCACCTAATTAATCATTTTCATTATCATAATTTTGCATCACTGCAAATAAATTTGTATTGCAACCAAATGCAGCTTAAGCAACACAAGGTAAGCACATTCCTCATTCCCTTTTAATTCATTGTGTATGCAACCGATGATTGTCATTGCTGACTTACGCTTGCAAAAGAATTCTTTTCTTCTAATTTGATCATGTTGCAATAGAAATTCTCCTTTGTAAAGCAAATAATATCTTCAGTTCATTGATCATTTTTTCTTTCATGCTGCCCTTCCACCTGACTATATGCGTCTATAAGTTGAATATTGCTCGTCCTTCATCGAAGGAGTGAAGAACTGAAGATAAACGGTAAACCCAATGATCGAGGCCCAAGGGGACTGATGAGAATCTAGCAATGGAATTAATATAATTTAACGCTTGTCTTTTTTGAAACGGAGTGAAGATAAACTCATTAGTCGAAGGGATTAGTGAGAAAAGTTTTGAGTGAGAGAATTTGCAATAATTTTAAGATCCTCTCTATTCGATTTTTTTTTTCATAGATGGACTTAACTTTTTCAAATTAATCAGTTATTATCTCAACCCTTTTAACGGTGGATATTTCATTATCTATTCCTTAATTTTAAGTTGTTTTAAGGGAAAATCTATGATGCGGAAAATATATGGTATGGAAAGAGTTTTGACCAATCAAAACCCACCCGTGAATTTTGATAAATAACACCTGATTGGCTACCGCGTTTATGATTCCAATTAACTTTGTCAGAAAATTTTCAGATATCATATCTTTTCCGTATCATAGTCGAACCCTGATATAAATGGTTAAGAAAATGAGTTTTTAAGGTTGTTTAATTGCCAATCAGTTCGGATCTCCTACACTTACCTTAGACTAAAGTGTACACTAATTAGACATGTTCATGGGCCGGGCCGGGCTTTCACTCTGTATTAACAGATTTTTCTAAGGCCCGAGCCTGAGCCCGGCCCTCATAAAAAGCCCGAAGCCCTAGCCTGGGCCCGAACTCGAAATTTAGCCCATGTTGTTACTACTATTGAAGCGACTGAATAGAGAGAGAGAAATAAATTATAAATAAAAATAATAAAAAATGTATATATTAAATTATAAATATATATATATTTCAATAAATATTACATTATTTATATATTTTATATAATATATAAAATACATATTATGTATTTTATAAAATATATAATGCTGAGTCGGGCTAGGCTGGGCTCAGGCCAGGCTTTTTTGACAAATCCTGAGCCCGGCCCGAAACATAGTCGGGCTTACTGTATTAGGCCTGAGGTCAGGGCCACGGGCCTAATTACATGACCAAGCCCGACCAGGGTGCGGGCCGGGCCATCAGGCTACCCGACCCATGAACAGGTCTAATACTAATTAATCAATGTAAATTCATGTGAGACAACGACTTTGGTTGGTCTCAAATCCTATCTCACTATACCTAGTTATAAATAATATAAGTAGGAGATTGAATGATTGTGGGTCATATATATTTTATGATTGGGGTGGGGCATTGTCATTGGTTTCATAACCTGTTATATAAATATTGTGTTCAGCTAATCCAGTTTGAATAAGGCACAAAGTTGTAAGCATTTTCAATGAATATTTGGAAAAATTTTCTACTCCTATCCCTTAAAAATACCCCTAGGCCTATCATTGAAAAATATTAAAAACCACTTTTGACAATTAAAATATTTATCAAGTGCTTACTATATTGTGCCTATTATGTCTAATCCCCATCTAATCTATTATTTGTAAAAAGATGAAAGTAGAGTGCATACCCAGTTTGCTAAGCAATGTTCATCTAATACGAGATGCTTGTCTACAAAGTAATTTTTAGGCTGTGTTTGTTTTTAGTGTAAATATGGACCAATGTAAAACTCCATTCCTAAATCGTATTTTCATGCATTTGTTTTCGGAGTAAGTTCTACATAAAAATTTGATGTTAAACCTTACGCACGGTTAAATTTCACATCGATAATCGATGTAAACACTAAATCAATTTTCACACTTTACATTGATTGCCACACTTTAAAAAGTTCCAATGGTTCACTCATTTTAAAACTCATCGGTGTTGAACTCCATCAATATACTTTAATGTATTTTTACATCAATTACTGTTTACACCAAAGGCAAACACAACCTTAGTGATTGTGTGGATGTGTGTGTACACATACATACATACTTGGATGATTAACTCATTAGTATTTTTGTTAGTTAAAAATATAAAAACATTAAAATTGTAAAACCATGATTCCTTTAGAAATTATGTACAACTTGGTTTTCAAAATAAAACAACTTCTATTTATAATTTTCTTTTGAATTTTCCGATGGTTCAATTCAATATCTTAATGTAATATGGGAGATGTCCATTGACTTGAGTAATGGAAGAGTATACACACTGAAATACTAGTCCATGAAAGAGTTTGTGAAACATGTGCTAAGCTTGAAAATATTGAAGCTTGAATATGACCAAGGGAGGGCTCGAAGCTTTGGCCCTGTTATTATTTGGTGGTACTCTTGAAAGTACTTTTTTTACTTTCAAAAGTATGAAAGTACGAAAAGTACCGGAACATTTTTGTTTGGGTGTTTTTTTTTTTTTTTAAAAAAAAACATGAAATAAAAGTACAAAAAATAAGAAAAGTATAAAATCAGTTTTTGATACTTCGTATTTTTTGGTCCTTTAACATATTTTATACTTTATAAAATGTGTGTATCAACCATATGCGTGATACTTATACACTCCACCATTTAGTAGCATATACAACTATCATATGGAAATATAGGCACATTAATGTATTCAATGACACATGACATGTCGTGTGGCATGCAACACCGTTAACTTACCTTCAAATGCCATGTGATATTCATCTATATTGCCACGCGGTATATAATACCATTAATTCACCATCGAATGTCATGTGGCATGCATATAACATCTATATGTCAATGATCCATATTCAAATGCCATGCGACATTCATACATGATGTCAGGTAGTGCCCTATATTATTGATTTACATTTAGATACCACATGGCATACACACATATAAAATATTTTATTGTATCAAAGTGCCATCATTTATTTTTACTTTGAAGAATTTTCATCCAAATGATTTTTAAAATAAAAATAGAAAACCAATAATATATTTTGTACTTTGTACTTTGATGTTATTTAAAGTACAAAGCACGGAGTACCAACAAATAGGATCAAACGATAAAAGAAGGAAAAAAAAAAGAAAAGAACTAGTGAGAATTTTCTACAATTGCCCCATTCTCTATAGTTTCTTAAGATTCGTGAGATTGTCTAGATGGTTTTACCGTGGTAACCCTTGAATGGTGAGAGGAATTCAGATTCAATGGGATCATTCATCAATTCACGCACATGTCTATGTTTATGGCGAAAAGGAAATATGGGCAATTACTATTTTACCCCACTCTTATGGTGAGACCGGATCTACTCCTCACACTTGGTGCCTCTCAGGCGCCTCACACATCTTACATCTCCTGTAATTAATAGTTATTATTCATGGGAGATGTTCCCAATCCACAGTGGATGTGCCTGTGAGGCGCCCATTTGTGAGGAGCAGATCCCACACTCAACATCATTGGCAACAGTGAGACCGTATCTATTCCTCACGTAGGGCGCCTCACACGCACATCCTATCATCAATTGAAAACATCTCCCGTACTTATAAGTTATTTTTCATAAGAGATGTTCCCAATGCACGGTGGATGTGCATGTGAGGCGCTCAAGTGTGAGGAGTAGATCCCACTCCGGCAACAACTAATGTTTTTGGGGATTGGGTGCTCACAAAACCGTGCTCATAACGACTTGCAGTTGTGCAAAAAGCTGTGAGCACGGTGGATTGATTTTGGGACGGTGACGTTCAACGTCAACGAATGCATCAGCAAACGGATCTCTCAAACATGTTTCGTACTTGTACTGGATTGATTTTGAAACGGTAATCATGTTTTAGATATGCGGCTACAGGAGATGTAATCATGTTTTGGAACGGTAATCATGTTAGAAGCTGTGTTGGTAGAGTGTCGTAGGTAGCAGATCCTGATACTCTACTTAATGATGTCAGCAATAAACCACGGTTTAACCTCGATTGAACCGTTGGCACGGGACCCAATGGCCTTCTCGAGTCAACGGACGGTCCGAGTCTAACAACACTGAAACAAGCCAAAAAAGGGAAAAAGAAAAAACCGGTGCGAAGAAGAAACGTTCTTCTCGTTCGAACACGCCAGAGCGAGGGTTCTGAAGAGAGGGAAAGACACACAGAGAAGAGAGAAGAGAGAGAGGGAGAAAGAGAGAAGGAGGGAGAGAGAGAGAGAGGATATGGTGGTGAATAGGATAACACGGTGGAAGTGTCGAGGATAAGCCCTTGTTCCAAGCTCTCGGCGGCTGCCAAGATTTCAGTATTCTAAACAAGGTAAAGTTCACCTCGTATCTTCTTGTTCTCATGATTTTCGCGCTCTGCACATTCAACAATTTGGTCGGTTTCTAGACAGTTTCTGACACGTGTTATCTATCCTCTTACGTTGCATTAATGTAGATTCTCTATGTTTGGTACTCCCTGCTCCTTACAAACCCACCTACCTTCCAAGAACGAACCAACATTTAGGGTTTCGCTCTTGTTGCTTTCCTTGTAGAATTCTCAATTTGAGTTCTATGGTCCAGTCTCTCGTTTGAAAGTGAGTGTGTGGGTTTCTCTTTGTGGGATGATTTTCCCTGTTTCATCATGTTGGCTATTTTTTTTTTTTTTTTCGTTTCCTTTGCGAGGTGATGGGTTGGTCGATTTTTATTTTACTGAGGCCAAAGGTTTTGATTTTAGCCATTTTAGTTTGCTATTTTACTGTCGTTTGTTTTGGAGTCTGTCTGCAATTCAACAAGGTGTCGATTTGAGTGGTTTGTTGGAATTGTAGTTTCTTAACTGGAGCTTTGGTAATCATTATCCTCAGCTGAATTTTAGTGTTTTATATGGTATTCTTAGCTATGACATTTGCTTCACCTGGCAATTTTTGTGGATAGGCTCTTAATCGTACATTATGCATCAATTCCTCGGCTGCTTCAACTAATTAGGGCATTGGAGTCTTCTGGTAAATTTAAAACTATTGAAAGCTCTACTTTCTTAATGGTTCATTAGTGGTGTAGTTTAATAAGGTGGTAGCTTAAATTTGGCTTCTCTAACTTGTTCCCATCATTTTCTGGAAATGAAAGTTGTGCATGAAATTGATACTGTGTCTAAAGGAAAAATACTTGCAATAACCACTATATATCTTTTAATAATTGACAATGCAATAACTGCTACATCTATCCAAAATGCATGGATTCTAAATGGAAGTTGTGCATGAAATTGATACATATCTTGAGGAAAAATGCTTGTAGCAACCACCATATTTATCCCAAAATACATCCATCTGAATCAGCAAGTCCCCAACTTTTACCTCGATAGTTTCCTGGAATCACAGATATAAGCAAAAAATTTGACCATATCTGGCATTTATATATCGTGGTATGGTATAATATACAATATTTGGTTCTCCTGGTTCCATTTGATGAGTTTCTGTAAAAGAACATGATTACATATTGTATTACAGATCACCAGTGAAGTGAATAATTTGCTTCTTGGGTTGTTCCATTATTCTGTGAGTACCTATTATTGTTGTCGTCATTGTTGTCATATGAAAGGTTATCCGAAAGGCTACTACAACTACTTCCTTTCCTTCTCCCCAAAAGATTATACATAACTTTACACTCTTCATGAATGCTTCTACTCCTTACAGTTCGTCTCATTGAACATCGGTTGGTTGATTTGGAGATTCTATATTAGACAATTCAGAAAAAAAAGAAAGACCAGATACCCTAGCTGAACCAATTATAGTGTCCCACCTTATGCAAGTTCTTATTGGTATTGACATATTAGTTCAGATATGGATGTGTCTAAAAAGGTTATGAGATCATGGTTAGAGATTTATATGAGGAAGAATATTTAAGCAGAAAACTTGTGTCTAAAGTAAGTACAATTAGAACCTTTTTTCTTAAAAAGAATAACATATCATCTTCTCATGTTTTTCTATTCTGCACTTGTGACTTCAAGATTTTTTCTTTTTTTTAGTTATTGATAAGAAGTCATGTTCTGATTGAACCAATTGTGTTTCATCCAAGTTTGTATTCATTTAACATTAAATGCGATAAGCATAAATCTACCACTGGTCTGTATTCACGAAATCATACCAATAAGTTTCTAACATGAATTCATATCTAAGTTGATTATTGCGGTTGTGGTAGCCTTTTGAACTATTCTGTTAGCTTGAAGGGTCCTTTTAAATGCAGTTTTTCTGCTCATGTGTTGTGTGATTATTATTATTATTATCATCATCATTCTTTTTTATCAGTAACAATGCATGGGATTTTATAAATCATGAATAATATGGGGCCCCATGTCGTTGAGATCATGAGGAACAAATACAAAAAATCACTGCTGAAACATTTATAAGTCATAATTATTACAAATATGTAACCTGGGCCTGGGAAGCCCCACACTAACTCCATTCTCAAAAGTCATAAAAAACTCCATTCTTGAAACCCCTTTTCTTGCTAGAATATCAGCTAGGTTATTTATAGATCCAGGTACCCATTTGAATATGAGCAGTTAAAGCCAGATGCCAAAATCTTTGCCTCTGTTACAAGATGTCTTATCATCATTATCATTACCATTATCTTATTAGCTGTTGATTATTATCATTTTAAGCAGCACTGGGAAGTTACACTTCTTAATTCCTCCAGTGGTGTATAGCTTTGTACGTATATATGCTTTCCTCATTAGCATTAGTTGATGATGTAAAGCCCTTTGGGATTACTAATCTCTACACGGTACTTTATTGAGACTTTACTATTTATCAGATTAAATTACCTTATTTCTGATAAAAACATTATTATTACCATAACAGTGCACATATTTTTTTTCCTTGTCTGGGAAGCACTTTTATGGTATGCCTTTTCTTTTTTACTTTTTTTTATTTATTAGAAATCTGCAAAACCTGTAATTTAGAATTAATATAAAATTCTCTTACTTATCATGCTTGTTGGAAATGTCAAATGGTCAAACCAAGTCACGAACTAGGTCACATAGACTGAACCAACAATGTCACTGTCAGCTTGCTTTTGGCAATTCTCTTAGGCAATTCCTTGATGTTACTGTATCAAATCAACATGACTTTATTTTGGTCTGACAAGATTGCTAAGGTATTGATGATTGGCCTTGATGCATTACCATTACAATTATTACAAAAGTGTCATTTTCATCTAATACCATTTTTGTTTGTTACTTGGTCAATATGAGATATTTTATGTTAGCTTTGCATCTTTATTTCTGATATGATTTACAGGGATACAATGATCCAATATAAATAACCCTTTAATTAAAACTGCTAGCCAGAAATTTAATCCAAAGCTCTTAAATTCTTATCCAACAAAGTATAGAAGTTCATAATTTGAACATAGCTTGTTTTTTGGTGTAATATTTTTAATGTTTCTTGTGCCAATCCAAAAGGCTGTGGACTTTAATTAGCCTAAGCTTATCCAATGACTTGCAAAATATTTGGAAGAATCAAAAGAAACTATGGGAGACAAAATATAAATAGAAAAGACATATTTAGGGGCTTTTGAAAAATTCATACTTTTCTAAATGAAATTTCTTTTGGTTCTTGAATGGTTTTGAGCAAGAACTCAAGAACCTGGCAACATGCTCTCTCTGTATGAACCTATGTGGTTCTTATTTTGGTTTAGGACTACCATTGGTTGAATTATCTTCTGGGCAATCCAGGCTGTCCATCAGGCAGGTGAGCCTCTCATAGTCATGTCTTCATTCCCTTAGTGCAAATCATTCCAATACCACCCTTTATTTGAAAATTTCTAGGTGAAATTATTCACTGAAAACTTAGCTTTTCTCCAGGGGGTCATTGTTTGCTCACATGGCAGCAATTTTTGGGCTGACAGATACCTCATGACTAGAAGCCTTGTTTACACCTTTTTCTATTAAAACATGTTATGCACGATTTTTTTTTTTTTTGCAAAAGTATATGAATGCTCTACTGCTGATATGTTCTGCAAGAAGATTATTTTTGTTGTGAAAAGACTTAATATACAAATCATGCAGAAGGCCAGAAGGCCATTAACCCAATGTTGTCCCAACCATCTGGAGTCTTGGGACTTGGGAGGGGTGGACTGGATATGGACCTACCTTTGGCATTTATTTTTTCACACAAAGAGTCTGCTCTCAGATTCAAACATGCTTTCTCACACTTGTCTGCCTGAGATTTTACCTTTTTTTTTTAATCAGTAGAAAGTAATGTTATTAATGCAAACTTAAAGATTACAAGAAGGTGGGTGTAAAATCCACCCCAAACAACAAGAGTTCACAGATTTGCCCAAAACAAATGCTGTCTTAAGCCCCTTGTTTGGCTTGAGTGTCTGCCATTTCATTTGCTGTTCTTCTCACCCATTTAAAAGAAACATTTAACTCTCTTATTAAGTTCTCTATCTCCCTAAATTTGTGCCAAAAAGCCCAAGGGATTTGGGTACTGCATCTTGTCCAAGAGATGACCACCTGAGTCCGGAAACCAAATTGTTTAGCCAACTTTAACCCCTGCAAGAAGCTGACCAGTTTTGCTGTTAGTGCGTCACTGTGCTCCAAAGGTCCTAAAAACAAAGGCACCACTCTTCTTTCTGAATTTCTGAAGATGCCCCCTAGGCCCCTACCCAGCCAATTCCATATTGCCTATAAAACTTCCATCAAAATTGAGCTTTAGGAAGTTAGATACCGGGGGTTTCCATTACCATAACTTGCCTTTCCTTTTTCTTGAGCTGAGAGTACCACCTCTTTCCATGTTCTCAACATATCATTCAGTGAGAAATTTTGGAAGGCCTCCAAAGTTTTCACCCAGTGTGTAGCTCTTGTCTTAATTGAATCAATAATTTCCACCTCAGCCCTTCTCTTATCATTGAAAATTCTTCCATTCCTTTCTTCCCAAATGGTCCAAGCCACATTTTCCCTCACTGCCTGAGCTTTTACCATTACACCACGCAATGGCCCCTTTATGTACAATAATGCAGGTCTTCAAAATGCTAATTATAGACTTCTGTCTAACAGGGATTTTCTAACCTTCGTCTTGTGTGCTAATGTATTAATGCTTCAGTGGACTGTTTTTTCAACCCTGTAAATTAGATACCTCTCATGTATTGGATCAGTTTTCCTCTTATGCAAGTGTTTGTATATATCTACTATATTGATTTTTTTTTTTGAAGAAGGTAAAGTATTAAATTATATTATTTCCTCTAATGTATCTACTATATTATCCTTTCTATTTTGATAGGTAACTGAAATTTTATTGATTGATATAAAGAATAGAGTTGGTTATATGCAAACATGCCAAGCATCCCCAGAAATGGACTAGTTATAATCCCATTGCCTCCTCTTTGTTGCAATGCTAACTAACATGAAGGTCCCCAAAGCAATTTTTCTGTTTACCCTTTGTTTGGCCAGTCCATCTACAAGAGCATTGACCAATCTTGGTATCAAATTGAATCTTATATTCTGACTGCTTCCCATTCCTCTTATTTCCCTCAAGATGTTACAGCATTGTCATGCGACTGCTTTATCATTTTCTAATCATCCCACTACTACTTCTTGTCAATCTTTAGAATTCCTAAAAGGGAGGCAAAGAGGTTGGAAAAATTGATGAGGGACTTCGTATGGGAACCTGGGGAAAAGAAAAAAGATCACTTGATTAGGTGGGAGGTGGTGAATAGAAGCAAAAATGAAGGACTAGGCTTAGGGAATGTGGTGAGTAAAAATGAAGCTCTTTTAGGTAAGTGGCTTTGGAGGTGGCCCTTGGAGAGGGAGAGGTTGTGGCATGAAGTAGTGAAGAGTATCCCTAGCTGTTCTGAATCAGGTTTGGATGCGGGGGTATCCCGAAGGGCTTTGCTCACAACACCTTGGAAGGCTATTTATGGCATTCTCCCAAAGTTCCTCAGATTTGTAAGGTACGATGCTTGTTCCGGAAATTCCATTCTTTTTTGGGAAGATATTTGGGTG